AAAAAAAATTGAAATGTGCTTAGGAAAAGGGCCAATTTACGGAGTGGCGACAGAAGTGCTTCAGAACGAGAAAAAGAGGGGAAACAACTTTGTTAGGAAATCAAAACTTTTTTTGTACCCACCTCTCCTAAAAATGCTGGCTACGTCACTGTATGTAGGATGCCTATGGTAAAATGCTGTGCCCTTCACAGAAAAATAATACTGCAAAGAAAATTCTACTCGATGTTTACATTTTAAAGTGATAACTTGGATACTGTACTTTAGGTAATGTTGTTAGACTTTTTCATATGAATATCTGTAACTTCTCAATTTTACTTGGACAGTTATAGATTCAGAAGTGTCCAAAGCTGATTTATAGATAAAATTTTATCAAAATTAGAGAAAGTCGAATCTACCATATAAGGTCACGAAATAAACTGTAAAAAAGTGATTTTATAATCTTGATACATAAAATGTTTTCGTATAGTTTTCAAACGTCATATTTGCTGATAACATAAAATCATTATTATACTTATTTTTATTAATAGTTATTAAAAATTGTATGCTTGAAATATGTTACAAAATAAAGTCTTATTTTCTGTTGTATGAAGATGGTTTTATTTGAGATTTTTACCTACTATACTTACATTTACTATGTCGACATATAGTCTATACTAGATAATATCTTAAAAAAAATGAAAGTCATGCCTTTACTTTATATTAACATATGACAGTCCATACCAAAACTTAGAACAGAATAATTGCTAAAGAGCTTCCACATTATGGACTATCAGTCTCAATTATTATAAAATTATGGGTCAACTTTTGTCTACAATTGACTCACAAAGTCCTGATTTATCGTCATTAGCACAATTAAATGACAAAGGTTCCGAGCTGTTAACCACGGAAGAAGCAGATATTGATTTATTTTTACCATTAAAACCTACTGAAAATACACATATGAATACTGAAGGTAGAACAGCAATTATTAAACAAGCATCAATTAAACAAATACAGACACATTTATTCGCATTAACTAATTCACAAGAAGTCAA